CCCTGCACACCCCTGCTAAGTTAATACCCCCTGGCTTCAGCCCTGACAATGCAACGCCAGTCCAGCTGTAGTTTCCTAGCTACCGGTACCAGGGCCGCCCAGAGGATTCAGGGGGCCTGGGGTCTTCGGCAGCAGGGGGCTCCCGCCGCCGAAGTGCCGCCGAAGACCTGGCACTTCGGCGGCGGGTCCCGGAGCGGAAGGACCCCCCGCTGCCGAACTGCCACCGAAGACCCGGAGCGGAAGAAGCTCCGGGGGCCTGGGCCCCGTGAGAGTTTTCCGGGGCCCCCGGAGCGAGTGAAGGACCCCGCTCCAGGGGCCCCAAAAAACTCTCGTGGGGGCCCCTGTGGGGCCTGGGGCAAATTGCCCCACTTGCCCCCCCCGCCCCCTCGGGCGGCCCTGACCGGTACCAGTTTGATGTTCTACAGGAGGATTGACAAACTGCTGCTTGCAGCTGGTGATCCACAGTGGGATTGTCATTTTAGACTAGTGTGAGGGGATGATGGGAGTATTGGTGGAGACTGGGAATGAGTATTTGTAGAGGAAGTATTGGCGGGTTCCCACTGGCTCCATAAGGATGTCAGCTAGAGTTGGAGGAAAGTGCTCCCAGAGACTGCTGAGCACGAAGGAGGGTTTTTTTGGTGAATGTCCCTAGGGTCTTGAGCCTCTCCTGGAGCGTTAATGTAGACTGTACAACATTCTCTGTTCTAGGAGTTTGTTCCTCACACATCTCACGGATCAGATGAAGAAGACCCTGGGGTTGTCTGAATAGGGAAAATCCAGTAGATGACTGGGAAACCTCTCAAATAGACAATAAAAGGGGAGGGATCAGCTGATCCCAATGGCAGGGGTCCACAGCAATAAACTTTTTCAACATCCTTTTTAGGGTCTGATAAAACCATTCAACCAGATCTTCAGTTTGCAGATGATCGACATACATACACAGGATTTTTATTTTTAACAGATCACACACCTCCTTCAACAGATGAGATATGAAGTTGGTGCCTTGAATGGTGGTGATCGTCTTAGGTACCCCAACTCTGGAAAAGATCTTTAGCAGTTCTGTTGCAATAATCTTTGCATGTGGGGAGTGTAGCAGGATTGCCTCCAGATAGTTGGAGGCATAATCACTATCACTAATATGTACTCTTTTCTAAGGGTCCAACTAGATCCATCCCTATTATTTCAAATTGGACACTTACTACAGGGAGTGGAGCTAGATGGGCTTTGCCCACCCCTTAAGGTCCTATGAGTTGGCAATCAGGACAGGGGCTGCAGAAGTCTTTGCCCTCTTGGTAAATCCTGATCCAATAGAAGTGGTCCAGAATCCTGGCCAGGGTATTCTCATGGCCACAGAAGGGAAAGCATGAGCCAGTCAGATAACCTCACGCTGATGAAGCCAGGGAACAAGGAGTTGCAATCAAGTTTCAACCATCCGCCAGTCTTTCTCCAGATGGTACAGTTACTCTGCCTGGAGCTCAAACTGAGCGTACTGCTCTGCTTGATGTGGGCCTATTACCTCACCGTTGACCACTGAGAGCTGGTCACAGGCTCAGCTCAGGGTTTTGTCCTCCCTCTGATCCCTCATGAAGTCAGTCCCTCTAGTTATGATGCCCTCCCCTTTCAGGGTCCAATAGGGGGATCCAATATTGTTTCATTATTAGGGAGAACCTCTGTGGGAGATTCTGCTGGGCTGGACCCCCACTCTTCAGGGTCCAGCTCCTCACCTATACCTGCCAATATCCAGGCTCCATTTCCCAGAGTCTCCTCAGTTTACCCCTCTGGGGGCTTAAATTCTCCCAGTACCTCTGAGAAATGCTCCTAATCCCATCCCAAGATAATGGCGTAGGCTAGCATTTGGGGGCAGCTCCACTACAAGGGACTTCATGTTTGCTGTCAATTGCATGTGAGCATTGGGATAAGGTTTCAAGTTCCAAAGAATACATTGTAGAAAGATGGTCCCAAACCTCATAGCCCTGAGGGAAACTAAGTCCCAAATCAGGGGTTGATCACGCCCAGAATCCACCAGGCCTGTCATCTCTGTCCCATTTATCCAAATAGGGATAGTTAGTTTAGCCAGGATCTGCTTATGGGCTTGACTTTCCACCATCCACATCTGTCCATAATCACACTCCACATGTGGCCAAGAGCGAGACAAGTGTCCTGTGCACCCACACAAGAAGCAAACTCCCCCAGCTGGCATGCTGGGCTCCAGCCTTGTGCCTAATATTCAAGGTGACCCCTTCCTTTGTGACTTGTCTGCTCCCGCCCCCTGGTTTTCCTGAAGAAGAGATGGCGTAGTCCTAGAAGCCTTTGTCTGGGCTGGGGTTTTCCACAGGGAACCAATCCAGGGCCCTGCGCCCTGCTGAGTCCCCTAGGGATTGGCACTTCTGTGCCCAACACTGGACCATCAGTCTGCAAATTGCCCCAACTAGGTTCTCCTTTGAATAGAGGGACCCCATTGGCTTCAGGTGGTCTCTGGCATGACACATCCAAAGCCACTTCAGCAGCCAGATAGTTTTTCATAAGCCAGACTACACTGGCTAGTGTCTCGGGACAGTGTCTGAGTACCCAGTCTCTATCCCCAGCCAGGAGTATGTGGGCAAAATGCTTCACCAAGATGAGTTTGGACACCTCAACTCCAGTCTGAGTCTCGGGCTTTAACCATTGCCATCACGTGGGGCTGGGTTCTCAGTCATCCACTACAGAAAATGCTCTAGGTCCATGTAGCCATCGTCTTACCAAACCATACCCTTAGGCCTAGGTTGTTCAACAGTCCGGGTCAATCAGTCTTCCCACTTCTCCAGGTGTGGGAACGTCATGCCTGCAGTCTGCACCATTTTGTCACTGATGTTTCTACACACTAGGGCACCCCATAGGTCCTAAACCGGGTCCCAGCACTCCTTTAGGCCTCTGCTCTGCAGTGACTAAGTGTTTCAACACACCAATCCAATCCCTCTGGCTGAGCCCAGATAGTCCACCCCTTCCAGAATGCCTCCCTCTCTTCCCTCAGAATACTTCTGTAAAGCTGTGGGCCTAACTAGGTTCCCTAGCTAAGGTAAAGTGCAGTTCCAATACAAGTTGGTTCAGTTGATTCATCTTCCCTCCAGGGTTGCTGTGCATCAATTGTCTGAGGAATCCTTACCTTGATTCATCCCAAAATATTACCTGGGCTCCCATCATCTGCCTCCCCATAATATAGCTATTTGTAGATATATACACACAGCTATAGAATATTTCACCCCTCTCCCATTGGCCCCCCAGCCACCAGGAGAATCCAGGATGGGCTTCCCTGTTCCTCCACAGTGTTGGGGTGAAGAGGTCGTGGGGGAGGAGGACCCCCCTCCATACAGGATGCAGCAGGGGCAGCTCTCAGACTCTATTTGGAGGGGTGCACTGTGTGGACAGGGGGGTTCTAGAGCTCCTGGAACCTCCGGAGGGCTCTGAGGACCTTGTGGAAGGACTCATCCATGTTGAGGCAGTACCCTCCGTGTAGGGGGATGCAATTCTCCTGGTCAAAGTCCAATGCCTCCTCTTTGGGCACCTGCTGCTGTAGGTCCAGGTTGGCCTCGTTGCCCACAAGGATCATGGGAAACTAATCCTGGTCTTTGATCTGCAGGGTTTGGGTGTGGAACTTGCTGATCTCATTGAAGCTGCTGTGGTCACTGATGGCATAAATGAGCAGGAACCCTTCCCTAGGCATATGTAATGCTCCTGCAGATCCCCAAACTCCCCTTGCTCTGCCATGTCCAGGAAGTCTAGCTGGGTCGGGGTCCCATCAATGCTGCAAATCTTCATGTAGAAGTCCTCAGTTGTGGGCTCATAGTCAGAGACAAAGTACAACTGGATGAATTCAGGACCTACTCTCCACACTAGTTGGAGCTGGATTTCTCCCTTTTAAGCTCCTCCCTGCAATTCTGACATCTCTCACATGAGCCGGGGGGGGGGGGGTAGGGCCACCTGAGACCACATTAGTTTGTTAGCCCTGTTGGGGGAGGATTGTATATTTTATCTCAGGAAGATGTTACTGTGAGCGGTGTGGGGGAGGGGGAAGGCGTGCTTGTGTGCAGGGGTTGTTACTGGGAATGGTGTGCGTGTGTGTGGGTGCATGTATAATTGTTGTGTACGTTACAGAGTACCTCCCCTGTGGGGATGGCGTACGTAGTGAGCAGGGAGTATATTTTGCTGTGTGGTACAGTCTCTTTTCCCCTCTGGGGGCTGAGAAACGGTTTCCCCATGCATGTTACGCTCAGTCCCCAGCCACGGCCTCGGAGCAGGCGAGTCTCTTGATCATATCATCAGTCTGAGCTGGTTAGATCCCCTGTACACCACACAGCAGCATAGGTCACCGATCCCCTTAGGGGCAGTGTGTGTGTATGTGTGTGCGCGGGGGACCCTGTACAGTATCTCTCCCCCATTTCCCGCCTGACAGCATGTGGGGGGTTCTGTGTCCTGGCTGGGTGCCCCACACAGGATAGTGCTGCTGCCTCCTCCCCCCCACCCCCAGTGAGCGGGGCGGGTATACCGCCCATCCCCCCCTCAGCGTCTCTCTCTCTCTCACACACACACACACCACCCTCCCCGCCAGAACCTCGGGCAGCACATGCGCAGTAGGGAGCCGGGAGGTGATGTAATAGCTCAACAGTCTACTCCCCCTCCCCCCTTGCAGTTCTCCGAGCTCAACCAACATCCGGGCTCTTTACGCTGCGCCGGAGGCGGCGGCTGTACCAGCAGTACTCGCAGCTGTCCTGGGCCCAGGCTTGAGAGAGGAGGGAGGGAGCGCGCGTGCGCGCGCTGGCCAAGGGACGGCAGGGAGCGCGCGCGCCGCACACAGCGGGGTGGAAGGAAAGCGAGAGAGCGGCGGCTCGGGAGCGCGCGTGTGCCGCTCAGGGAGGGGAGCGGGGTCTGTGGCGCTGCGCGAGTCGGCGGCGGGCGGCGCTGGGCTCGAGGCAGGGCGAGAGCGAGCGGGGTGGGGGCGGGAGGAGGGGGGATGAGCTCTTGGTTCCCCCTGGCCAGAGAGCCGCTCTCCGCAGCTGCCTGTGAATGAACTGAAGCGAGGCCGCCGGCCCGCCGGCCCAGCCCCGCCGCGGATCCCTCCCTACGCCGGCCCCCTCGGAGCGCAGAGCGCGGCCCTGCCCTCCCTCCGCTCCCCGGAGAGCCGGTGCCTTTGGCCGCCGCCGCCGCGGGGTAAGTAAGTGCTGCTGCGCAGTGCGGGGCTCGAGTGGGGAGGCGGGCCAGGCGGGCCGAGCGGGAGGCGGCGGGGCGGAGTACGCTAGGGCGCTGAGGGCCGCGCCGCCGCCGCCTGGGCCCCGGGGCCTGTAAACAAGCGGGGGCGGCCCGCGCGGGGTTACGGAGAGAGGCGGGAGGGGAGTGTGACCCCCCCCTCCCCCCGGACCTGCCATCCCGGGCAGCAGCCAGCACCGAGGCGGTCTCTGCGAGCGAGTCTGGCCCTGCCTGGGATGCTGCACGCGAGGGGCTGAAGGTGACCAGGGGCTTGTCCCCAAGGGTCCAGCCCCGCATTGCGGAGTAGGGACTAGCGGGGTGACAGCCCCCCTTCCGCTCCCCTGGGTGAGAGCGGCTCCGGGCCTGCTGCAAGTAACAATCCAGCAGCGCCCCTCGCCCGCCGAGCTCCATTAATAATGCTTATCAACACCCCCCACACACGCCGCCGCCAAAGCACTTGGGGCAGGGCACCATTAAGAAACACATCTATTTATAAAGCACCCCACCCCACCAAGGGTCGCTGCACAAACACTCCCAGATAGTGATTTCTTATTTTTATAGCAGCCGCCTCCTCCATGCACGCCTCCCTAGGCGAACCATTGAAACACATTTCAAGTTTGAATTACATATTAAGGTCTTTAAAAACAATTTTGAGAACCAAAGCAAAGGTTACATAGATGAAACATGTGCTGTCAACATTTCCCATGTTAAGAGTGGGTGGGAGAGATTAGGCCCCTTGTAAAACTATTGCCCATTGACGTACTTGGTAATCTTGGCTGGTTTGGGTTTTTTAAATGTCAGAGATGTGGGCTGAGAATTTTTTTTTTCTGCAGCTAACATGAACTGTACTAGCCAGAGATGTGTTTAGGATGTGCTGCAAATTAATAGTTTTGAAAGAACTGATTTGATAAGCATTTCTTTGACATACATATTGGTGAACAATAAGGGCCCCTCAACTTTGCTGTCTTGCTTATGAGGGACTAGTTTTAGGGTTGGTGTGTCCTTTGAGAAGTTAGAAAGCCTGTTGCTTGTTGAGAATCACTATTGTGATAACATTACGGTTTAGGGCTCATTATTTCATACAAAGGAGTTATTCTTTGAAGCAGATACCTATCTTAAAAGGAAAGACATTGAGGGCAGTAAGGCTTCAAGTTCCACATGCCATTCACCAGTGATGAGGGGGAAGATTTCCCTGGCATGTGTGGGGCCTAAGTCATCAGTGTTTTCAGAATTTAAGCTTCCATTTATAAAATAATGTTTTATATCTTATGACTGTGAGAGAGGGCCTTCCAAGTGTGGACCAGTGCAGGATTTTTTTTGGGTCTTCAGAAAATTTGTTCCTGTGCTGCTCCAGACTTTGCCAAGCCTTTGTAATGTGAAACTAACAAGTTTCACTGCTGTTGAAACCTGGGGGAAGCAACTATCAAGAATTGTGTCAGTTTCACACAGTTCTTTCTGTGTCAGTTTCACATTCCTCCTCCTGCTTGGGAAAGTTATGAACAGCAGCAGAGGCAAGAATTGGAGAATTATTCAGAGGAAAGAGGAGTGAGAAAATTGGGGTTGGCGGAGATGTGAAGTACCAGAGACCCTTCTTTAAGCTCCTGTTCCCTTCCAACAGTTGGGATGAGGGGGGGATAGGAGCTTCATATTTAGTATCAGATTCTTTCTGTCAGCATCCATAAAGATGGAACCCTTGAAGAAGGAAAAACATTTTGGTAGAAATTTCAGCATCCTTCCCTGCAGTAGGGATTGGGCATCTCACAAGTGTTTTGCCCCTGAATCTCTCTCGCTTTATGGGGTCTCCTCTCACCTGCCCCCTTGTATCCAAGTCCTAGTCTACACTCAGTTTTGCTGGCATAGCTAGTGGACTGGAAAAAATCATACCCCTAGCCAACACAGTTGTGTTGGCAAAAGCCCCAGGGTAGATGCAGTTAGACTAGAAAAAAAAAGTCCCTTTCTTAGTATAACTTTTTGGGGGGGGGAGGGAGAACACTTTTGCTGGTATAAGATGCTTCTGATATATATAGCTATACTGGCAAACCCTTTCTAATGTAGACAAGGCCTAACTCTTGCTAATAAGCTTAGTCCTCTGGAAAGTAGTTATCTGGTAAATTTTAGTTTTTCATGGTCGGTATTCAGTGCTTTTATTCTTTTTTAAAAAGTGAATATATGGAAAACAAAGTATTTACTGAACTTTCTATGGCAAGGTTTGTAGAGATGTTTCAGTGAAAAACTCAGAGGAGGATGGAGATATCACGGGATTGGTGAGAGTTGGTTGAAGTTAACATGTCTGAACAGGCATTCACTTGATAGTTTGATGCAAATTCCATTACAAGCAGTATATTATACAAAGATTTCCCCTCTTCCCCCCCCCCCCCGTGAAATCAAGCTGGTTGTTTCTTACCTAGAGTATAGTTTAAACACAGTTAAACTGAGTCACGTTCTTGCTGAGACCAGCCTTTTAATACCCCAAAATACTTTAATGGCCCCAAAATACTTCTTAAAGATTTCAGTTGGGTGTGGTTTAATTTGTAAACTTATGCAACTTATATGTTTTAGACTGCAGCTGTCAATAAAAGGGAGATCTTATTACACTTTGCCATTTTAGTGGAATTCAGATTAAGCATCTGCTTCCCAAAGATGAATTAAATATAAACTTTATGTAACTATAATAACCATGATTAATTATTTTGCAGTATTGTCAATGTCAAAATCAGGCCTATTCTAATGTCATAAGATTTTTTGAGTTTATCAACTCAGCAAAAATTGTGTAAGATTTGGGTAAAACAAAGGTGTGTCCATAACTTTTATTTAATTATTTTATGACATTTTAAGTGCCTTCTAACATCTTGGGAAGTACAGTCTTATTGCAACTGAATATACAGTATTTGTAACAAATGTTCATTCTTTTTATAAAATGAATCTGACTATTGTTTAATTCAGTGGTTTACTGCCCTAGGTTTTTACTTGTGGAAATTTGGGTTCAAATGCTATTTGGGTCACAAATGAGAATAAGTTTAGTTCCATCCTTGATCCTAGGGTCTGTTGAACCACACTATAAAAATGTTCACTTTGGCATGAGTTGCTGTTTTATAGAGACCAATCACTTGAATAACCAAGATGCCCTAGGTCAAGATGGTAGTGCTTTGGCAGAGCTGTGTAGGGAAGCTTGTGCAGCTCCTGCCATGTTATGTGTGGCCCTGGCAATTTAGTCCAGGGTTCACTGAAATCATCATATCAGTGCTTTAAATGGAGGCGGTCAACTTGAAAGCTGCTTTATTTTTCATATGCAAAAGTCCCTCTGTTCTCTTGCAGATTTTTGTGGTTTTATGGTCACATCTTCACATTTTTAAAAATGTTTTTCCTCCAACATCTTTCCGATATAATAATATTAGGTGTCAAAAATCTCACTTCTGTCAAGTTTAAGTTGACCGTCCCTTCAGTAAAGTGCCCATCACTGTAGTAATTCAAGTGTACAAAGTGTAAAGCCTCTGTAAATGTAGTATAGTGCCTGAAAGGATGTTGGTGGACTGAGAATGTTTGTTGGGCTGTAGGTCCATGAAATGCAGTCCAACAAGTGTTGCTGTATTTCATGATACCTAGACAATGCGTGTCTCAGCTGCATAGGGAGATTGTCTTTCCATGGCTTCTCTGAGTAACGTTGTGGTATAGGTAGGAGGGGATTTCATAAGCATTCAAGATAAGGGGGTAAATTCTTGAAATCATAAGACTAGCAAGAACATTTAAAAGGAGGGGGAACCAAAATGCAGGGAAGGGTGAGAAGTGCTATTGGACAACTGTACTGCCCAGTTGGAAGAATCTCTGCCCCAAATAGCATACAGTCCAAAAATAATTCTAAAATTTCTCATCCAGTAAACTGGCAATGTAGATCGCTGTTTTGGCAGATATTTGTAACTTATTTAACATGTATTTTATCAGGTCCCTTATTGTTTTTTTACAGTTGTCGGTGTATAGAAACTTGTTATTCCAACATGTATTAGTGTTTTATGAGGTCTTCATTAAAAAGGATGTTTTCTGCCCTTGTTTTTTGGTTGATATATCAACAATACTTTTTAACGTGTATTTAAATTGATCGTTGAAATCTTCAGTGGAAAATGACTATATAAATTCTCTCTAGTAGTATTAAAGGAAAACTCAGGTTTTGTAAAAATAGTTTTACTAAAACTAAACTTGGAGTCAAATTTGACCAAAAACAATAGAAGTATTTTCTTGAAAAATGAGAGAATAATAAATCTAATGAAAGTTTTTAATCATAAGTACTCCTGTGTGCTTACAATAAACATTTCAGTGGGGCCACTGGACGAGCAAGATGATAAAGGAGCACTCAAGGACGATAGGGCCATTGCGGAGAAACTAAATGAATTTTTTGCATTGGTCTTCACGATTGAGGATGCGAGGGAGATTCCCAAACCTGAGCCATTCTTTTTAGGTGACAAATTTGAGGAACTGTCCCAGATTAAGGTGTCATTACAGGAGGTTTTCGAACAGATTGATAAACTAAACAGTAATAAGACACCAGCACTAGATGGTATACGTCCAAGAGTTCTGAAGGAATTCAAATATGAAATTGCAGGACTACTAACTGTAGTCTGTAACCTATCATTTAAATTAGCTTCTGTACCAAATGACTGGAGGATAGCTAATGTGATGCCAATTTTTAAAAAGGGCTCCAGAGGTGACCCTGGCAATTACAGGCTGGTAAACCTGACTTCAGTATCAGGCTAACTGGTTGAAACTATAGTAAAGAACAAAATTGTCAGACACATAGATGGACATAATTTGTTGGGGAATAGTCAACATGGTTTTTGTAAAGGGAAATTATGCCTCACTAATCTACTAGAATTCTTTGAAGGGGGATCCAGTGGATATAGTGTATTTAGATTTTCAGAAAGCCTTTGACAAGTTCCCTCAGCAAAGGCTCTTAAGCAAAGTAAGCAGTCATG